GTTTAACAATTTTGAAAACACCAAATTCATTTCTGCATCAATGTTTTTTAATATTTTGGATGATAACTTTATCACGTTAAATGTAAAATATGACTAAAAACTTAAAAAAAGACTTATCTTCAGGTTTACACTTATGAGAATAACAATATTTAAATATTACAATATTTTAAACATCTAAATAGTTATCCTTATTACTATTTTTAGAATGTATTCAACATAGATTTAGTTTTTCTATAGTTCAACTATATGTTATGTTGATTTAAGGTTTATCAGTAATCAATTTTAATTTTTTTTAATTTTAATGCTTATGATTGTTTATAGTATACTACTACAACTAGTAATAATGTTTTTTTTTTAATTTGTATAGATACCTTTATACACTTAGCAATATTTTTTTTAAATTGATTGGTCATTTCCGTGTGCATACCTAATTCATACAACACCTAACGTAAGGAAGGCATTACCGTCAAACTGCTTGCAGTATAATCATTATTTGCACAACTATAGCGGTTTTTTATAACTCCCTTGCCGCCCTTGGCCGGTAATGAACTATCAAAACAATAACACCCTTCTAAAAATAACACCTTGTAGCACGTTTTGATAATACCAAAAGGAAGACATTGTACAAGTTATATAATCTAATAAAACAAAGGTGTTTCCTATTTTAAAAATGCTGTGCATTATTAATGAAGTGTGATTCATTAAGTTCATTTATCAACGTCTCCAGTTTAAAACCCTTTACCATCTATCTTTAAGTATACTACAGCTATCTTCTGAAAGGATTTTTGCAAATTATTAATCTGATAGAATTGTGTTACAAGCATTACAACACTTAAAGACTATTTCTGCTTTATACAATTTTACTAAATAATTAGTAAGTAATAAAATTATTATTAAAATGTATTTACATTAATTAAAATAGCTCTGAATCAAATCAAAATCGTTAAAAAGAAACCACACAATAAAATCATAATGTTTTAAAATAAATCATATTATCATATTTATATTCATAGTGTTATTTGAAAATATATTAAAAAGCTTTTCAATCGCAAATAAACTTATTTTTGTTTAATGATGTTTCCATATAATTTACCTATTAAAGTATTTAATATTAGAACTTATTTTGCAAAGCTGAGAAGGAGTACAATTTTTTGTAATATTGATCGAATTTTTATTTGCAATTTAAACTGCTAAACGTTAAGAAAAACTTATTAGTCAATCCGGTTTTTTTTTAAGAATACTTTAAGTATCTTCCTTTTATTTGATGTATATCTTTTTTGATAATCTAACCCCACCCCCTGATACAGGGTTTTCGATTATATAAGGGCTCAAAATTTGAAATGTGCTTCTAAAAAGTAGAACTTATTCTACATAAATTTTAAAAATGTTCTGAAAAATCTGACATCGTTACATATATTTTAACTTAATTATTATATAATATACTCATAAAATATGTGGTTCAAGTGAGAAAAACTAGGAGTGGGACTATAGTTCCTAAAAAATAAGGATCGTTCCCGAGCCATACCGAATTGTCTCCTTTCAAAAACTAAAAATGATATTGATCATAATAAGCAAATATACAAACTTAGTAACAAAAATTATCTCAATAAAGAAATAGATTACTTTGACTATTCAAATAAATTTCTAATATTGACACTTTCCACTCTTCAGTGCTCAAAATTAAAGCGTCCCCCCGGCTTTTTAAGATTCGACTTAAGGAGACGCTAGATTGTACTTCAAATAAGAAGGGGAACACCGTCCTCTTCACTTTAACTACTGAAAATGTATTAGGCTATACCTTATAAAATTTTAACCTCTTGACCTATTTTCCACGTATGAACAGATTTAAGTCACAGTTATAAAAAAATATATAATTTGTGTGTAAAAATCGAATATTTCAGAAAAATATAATAAATTGTTATATAAAACATTTTGAAACCCCTTCGAAATTTACTAGATGCATCTTTTTAGATTCACACTCATTTATTAATATTATACATGCAAATTAATTTTTCTAATAATTTAAAGTTTCGTTTTTTTGAGTATATAATGTTATAGATATACACTGTTAATCGGTAGACGAATAATTGATAATATCGTTGGTGCATCAATAAATAGTCCGGTAGTAAATATTTCAAATTACAACACCATAGAATATTACATTTTCCAAATTTTTTTTCCACATTAATTTTTCTAAAGTACTGATCGTAATGAAAATTTAATACAATATAAAAGATACCACGAGCTATCTGAAGGTATGCTTTGTATCAAAATTTAATCAAAAATCGAAGTACAGGAATGGTTTGAAAGGTACCCCCCACGCAAATAAACTTTTTTTTCAAGTCGACTTTTAAAAATGTTCCGGTAAAATAACTGCGTATTTCTATCCTATAGCAAACCTCTTGAAACGTACTACAATAATAAAAAATATGTGTTCCTACGGTTATTCCACTATGAGAAATCGGTTGTCAAATAAAAAACATACTTTATTTTATATTAAGCAAATATTTTAACATATATTTAATATTTAATGAAATTTTAAAACGTAAAAGTTGTGAAATTTAACAGATTCAACTCGATGCGTTTTTAATTGTAATGGTGTTAATCACTATCAGATATAATTTATATTTATCTCAACTATACCGGTCTCCACTATGCCGCGATCCCACTGTACTGGGGTTTTAATTTTGTATAAACATAAAAAATTGTTGAAATTTGCTACATTTTGGGGTACGATAAAAATGAAAAATTAATAAAATGTTTATTTCAGATCATATTTTTTTTATTTATATTTTATTTAAATGTACCCCCACTTTTTATGTATTAATATTTTCTTCATCCGCATTATACTTATACATCTTTCATAACGTATAAACTTCATATTAATTCTTTGTTACTTTTATTGTTATTTTTGTTCGTTTCATTGTATACACTTTTTTACAATATCTTTTATTGTTTTTAGACATTATTAAAAAATTCCATTCTAAGTTGGCCTCGTCTGAGTGTGTGCAACGGGCTCACCATGTATCTACTTGAAAATCGAGTGTCTGCGTGTACCTGCAGCCCAAAAGCAATATCAATAAGTGAAACTTTGAGCATCAAACAGAAAAGCATTATTTAATGTTTCGTGGAATTTTCCTGTGAGTCGAGTTTATGCTTTGACGGATGGGGGGGGGGAATACTCAGAAGAGCTGCGAACGTTGGGCATAAATAGGTGCGAGGCGGAGAGTGAGGTCACGTGTCGTCGACGTCAATGGGGCACGTGTTCCAGGTACGGCGTATAATTTGATTTGACGTTGTACATTAATTAAAGAACACAAAGGAACATAAATATAGTAGATAGTGGTCGTCTGCAACCGAGGGATGTTTCCATGTATATCGTTATTATTATTATTATTATTATTATTATTATAGTTGGCAACAAAATGTTAGCTCTTCATGTCCAGGGAACATGTATGAAATTCAATTTATTGCTACTTATCGAGCTGTTCAAAATGATACAAAAAATTCACAATTAGTTTAATTAATTAAATTAGTTTAATACTTTTAACGATAATTTCTCCGAACGAGACCAATAGACTTATGTAAGCTGTTTGTTATTTATGTCATCGACTAACGCAAATTAGACGTAGTTTATTTTACGAGAAGTTTGAGTTAAATTTCAATGAAACATTTTCTTGCAAATTAAAAAAAAATGTTTTTTTTCGGAAAATATGTATAATTCATCACATTACATTCGAAATACGATTCATTCAGAATAATCGTTGTCTTCTCTTAGTAAAAGTTTAATAAATAGCAAGTAATTCAGATCATTAATAATGACTTTAAGATAATTTTTTGAGACATTACTGTGTAGCATATGACCAATATTCGAACAAGTAACAACACTTAAATTTTGATTATACAGTTGAAAGTTCTACTCTGTTCCTACTGACTGTTTTCCTAACACAAAACCACTAAAATATGTAAAATGCTATTTTGATGTCATGTTGTTAAATTTGTCATTTTTAATTTTATTTTCATTTTGATATGAATCTATGAAAATATTCTTAATTTCTAAGTAAAATCGTTGACCTAGATAAAATTAAGATCTTCAAAATTTTCCAGAAATAAAATATTTATTTTTATTTCTAAAGAAAACTTTCGCAAAAAAACAACTTATTGAAAATCTAAAAATGCTACAATATCTTTTAAATGCATGTGCCGAGTAGAATATGTTGAATTTTTGCTGTAAGCATTAACACGCCCAGTTAAGAGTTGCTTAAATTTCTATTTGAATTTTGGTTAAAATTTAAGTGAAACAAAAAGGTACTCCGAGGTAACAAACTGATTTATATTTTTATACCCATTAAACAGCTTTATTACAATTGATTGATATCGAATATAATAAAACTTAAAAGCTGTATAACACTAGGAGGAATAGTAAAAATTCTGGAAACTCCCCGCGTACGTGATAAGATTTAATTTATGTATTAATATTATATTGTAAAGTGTTATTCATCAGTTTTTATAATAAATCAATTTTTGCGCACAATACTTTTTTCCCGTATGATGATATTTGTATGTCGATGCGAAAAAGAAGCGCACAAGAAGAAATGTAAGTTAAATGTCGTGCCGCTCCTTGAAAATCCTTTGCAAAACGATAAAAATGTCATTGTCTACTCGGTTACAAGGGAAATCAATAAAGATAATTTAATACGGACGTTAATTCGGAAAAGAATTCGAGTCGTACGAGTGTGAACACAATGAATTTTCGCCGAATCTTTTCCGACTGTTCTTTGTTCGTTTTCAATTCGTATTTGAGCACCACTACCTTTGGCGGCTTATGGCACACAGTGAAATGCGATGAGGGGGGAACGGCACGCTTAGCCGGGCGGCACCGGCAGGCAGCGAGAGGTCTGCCTCGGTAGCGTCCGCCCACGTCGCTCGCCGGTTGGTCCAATGGCGATCGTGCGCCGGATGCTGCTGTGCCGTCGTACAACAACAAACGGCGTAAGCGACGGCGGGCCTTCGATGCCATCGCTCTCGGAACGGTCGCATCGGCTTCATTAAAACCAACGCGCGCCAGCTCATCGTACGTCGTACGCCTCCGAGTAATGTAACGTGCACGTAAACGTTATCGGATATGCAATAAACGTTCAGTTACCGAGACAGTGTCATTGTCTTATCAGTACAACGTTGAAAGTTCAAAGTTTAATGACGAACCGTTGATGATTCTGGACCGCGGCATGATAAACCTTAGTGCCTCCTGTTTACCGCCGTTTTCATTAGCGTTTATGTAATCGGTCACTCAGCCGACTATTTGGTCTCATCATTACAACGTGTAAATCATTCACAATTCTGTCGTCGCTGTCGTTCAGGCCAGGAATCCGGCCGAACATGCTCAACAACATCAGTTTAATAGGTCCGAATATTATTGGCGGTAAGCATAATAACTATTATTTGTTTAGTTGGAATGCGCAAAAACCTGAGTGATTAGTTTAGTTGTTATGGAGGTGCACATGAACTGCCCAAGCACTCAGACCTATAGGTCAATTGTGCTCGCCTCCTGCCCAATTATATCAATTCGGTTTCTTCACGCGAGTGTTTCCGCCAAAGTGTTGTAGCTATTGTTGAGTACCTAAGAAGTCCTACTAGGGCGCACCTAGACATATTCGAAGATTCCTATCTGTCTAGCGAAATTAAGTATCTCTTTGGGTTTTGAGCCAAGTGATTAGTAAGGAATCGTAAAACTGCCTGACTTCGGAAATATTGTTATCATTCACAATGGTATCAAATTACATTTTAATAATAATTTCCGTGTCCCAAACGCCAATGAAAGATTAGCCACTGTTATTTTTTGAAAAAGATTTCATTTTTTAAATAATTTAATAAATACATAGGTCTCGTATGGTCATATCATAAGATATCTGTTTGCATGTTACATGATCACTTAATATATATATTAATTTGTTATTTTATGTAAGGTATTATGTTAAGGAATCGCCTTGTATATTCACTAGGTAATTATTACGATCCGAGAAATAATTATAATTTTGCTCTGTGCATTTTATTTATAAACAGTCTGTTCCCCTAATTGTAATCTGATCGAAAATAATTAGAAAAAATAACTAACAGACAAACTCTTAAATTTATAAATAGATAAAAAAAAGATTTGGGTTCGTCATTTTGAGCGAAACCAGAATAATTTCTTTTCAGTTTTTGGAACTTAAGCACACTCTAGTTCATAACACTGTTTCCACCTACGTAGATTCTGATTATTTCAATATAATTATAAAATCAATTAAATTTTTGTTTTATAGCGTTTTTCTTTGTTATTAAAATTAATATAATTGACTAATTTTTTTTATATATATACGATTTCTAATATTTAATTCTTTAACATTTTTTTAATTAAATATATATAGTTAAAATTTATAATTATATTGGTATCGTTACTATAGTCCAATTACTAACGAAATTTATAGTGCATTTATTTTGTCACATATGTAAAACCAAAAAAATATAATATTATTAAAATCATAGTTTTAAAAATACATAGTTGTTTTTTTTTGTGTGTCTATTTTTAAGATATTTATTTCTACCCTATTGAATTTACCCAACCATGTTTCAAAGATTTCAAATAATCTCGAATAATAATAAAAACCAGTAGTTCCTATGTAAAATTTTTTATGTTATGCACGATAAAAATAATTTTACTAGGACACCATCACTTCCAAATTGTTTATGGGATTTTTTGTTAATAACTTATTTTTCATGTATCTTTTTCGCAAAATTACGGATATTTATTAGGATAAGTATGTTATTTTATATAGTGTCTATCTTATGATTGATTAACTATTACTAACGCAATATATTTTCCTGTATAGGGATCTGCACTAATGATAAAATCTGTCCCAGTCATATCATGTGTAAACTACTCCGAAAGTTCATTACTTACGAATTCTTTCTCCCAAAATACTTTCATGAGTTTTCTAAAACGCATTTATATGTGACTTTTGCAAAAATATCTTAATTTTAGGATAATTTTAAAAGCAGATCCTAAATCGAATGCATATGTATAATAAGAGCCGTCTCTAAAAAATGCAAATTTACGAGACTCCTAATATTTATTGCAGTAAAAAAATAACATTATTCTTTTGCTCATCAACTTAATCTACAGCGTCCTTTAATGCGTAGATCCTTATGCTTCGCATATGTATCCGCACATCTCATACACACCTAACACGAAGCGATACCCGTACTAAAAAAACCAATGACAATTAATAAGAGTTAACACGTCAATCCTTCACTTAGCAATAAATTAAATGTTCAGCGATTAAAATTACTCGCGGAAATATCTAAAAGAAACAATTAGATTGTTGTATATTTATAGAGACTATTTAATGGCCGTGTGTAAAACTCACGAGTTTTTTTTATCGATAATTAGTTGATAATTTTGAATTTGAAAATGCATAATACAAAGACAAACAATTCAATTCTTTATTCTAAATTTATCTAAAAATTAGTTTTGAAATTGCTTCTACACTGTAAAATCCAAAGATTCCCATACATCAGTATAACACTTTAAATATACACATTATTTTACACACTAGTAATATCATTTTGACAAAAAGTACACGAATTGAACATTTTATCAAATTTTTCCCTTATATTGTATTCGATAAAAATGTCCAATACATGTGTGGGAAAATGTTGACATGTTTTTTAAAGAGTATATAAATAGTTAAAATCGCCACTTGTACATTTCAATATCATTATTGCAAAGGTTATAATTTTTCTATAAAAATAAACAATTTATCAAACTATTGCATAACGTAAATTTATTCTATTTATACTTGAATGAACTTAAAATTTTGATAAAATAAGATTGTACATTTTAAACTAAATATTTTTCTAGAGTTTCCATATCACTTTGAGTTACTATAGTAAACATTTAAGGCCAACTTATAAACAAGTGATCAATGTTGTTTAAAAAATAATAATACATTAATAATATTGATTAAAATTCATTTTTAATACTCAAAGTTATATATTTCACTTGTTAATGGCGAATAAACAATTACAATGGAAATCTATGAAGAAGTTATACTCCGTTAGTGATAAAAATATTAAATATTACAAAGTTTTCTATTCGCGTGGTAATCGATCCGAGTCACAGTAGGCGCATGTCCGTTTCCCATCTTGTCCACAGGTTACACCTCGTCCGTCACGTAAACATTACACCAGCGTTGATTATATTAGGAAACTCGAGCTTTGATAGGACGGCAAGTTAAATTTAATTTGCAACACCAAATTACCTGTGCACAGACCTCGGCGTATACCACACACGATTGTCGGCAGTTTAGTCTGCTGCCAAATACTAATACGGTGCATCGCGGTGTACTCATTTTGTCTTTCTAATTAGTATTTTCTATTCCATAGAATTAATTAAACGCAACCATTTATGTGAATCTAAATCATAACGATTTTTTTATTCAAACACTAATTTAGGACACAAAGACTTCGATAGTCTCAAACACAGATCGCAATTACATCATTTGCAAAGTGGCGGCGGTAGTGGACATGATATTAGCGGCCAAGGATTGGTTGGAGCTGAAGTCACTAACGGACATTTGGGTAACGGGCCTTCGCCGTCTCAGATGTCGTCGGCTGGTGCCGCCGGTCCGTTTCGACTGTCTTGTGGCGGGTTCGATCTGTCGGCTGCGGCCACGGGTCACGGATTGGCGGCTGCCGCGGCCGCAGCAGCAGCAGCAGTAACCAACGGACATGGCAGTGACGACTCGGGTAAACCGAATAAACAAAAGCGTCACCGGACGAGGTTCACGCCGGCGCAGCTCAACGAGTTGGAGAGGTGTTTTAGCAAGACTCACTATCCGGACATATTCATGCGAGAAGAGATAGCTATGCGTATAGGCCTCACGGAGTCAAGGGTGCAGGTATGTTATAATTACTACAACTATTTGATTAACACGTTGCCGTTAAATTATTTTCTATAAAAAACTTGGAACAAAACATTCTAGAGTGCATCATCAATAAATAAATATTTAACGGTTTTCATCTTTCAAATCTTTTTGTATTTTGATGTCACACTCGTGAAATGAATACATCGAGAATGTTAATACACCTATTATTCGTTCTCTATGATAATGTAAAAATAATTAACTTTCGCGAACATTTTAATTAATTATTTCATGCTGAAAATCTCAATTTATTAGCGAGTAAACTATATTGTTAATTGCCGTTGAGACTAACTTGAGGCATTTTTCTTGTTATATTTACTACTTACTATAACTAATTGCATTAGATTACAACATTTTTTACTTGAAAACTCGGAAGTGTTCATTCAATGGCGATAGGGTTATGACTCTATTGAATACTTCCATTTCAGTTATTCTATGCGTTTTAAAGATATTTTCATGGTACAGATTTCTAACATTCTTTTAAACCCGATAATATTAATAATAGTGTAATTATTGAATAAAAATTGCGTTGTATAGCTGATAAATTTTTACACGATTCATTTAAATCATAATGAAAAATCTTCAGCACGCCCATTGCAGTTACCCGAATTTGATACAATACATATAGTGATAACACATATAGATTACTTTGAATAAACTTAACCTGACAGGCTTGAAAAACGAATTAATTATAAAAAATCGTAATGTATATGATTATCTTGTAAATGCGACAATTCAGACGATTAGTAAAATTTTAATAACAGGAAATCATGAGAATCATTCTCAAACGTCATTATTCGCATCATCTTATTTAATAATGTTGGTAGGCATGAGCGTTCCCACACTTTTGTTTGCCACTTGAAAACCTCTGGCGATACGCTGAACATTTTGTCGAGACACCTGTTTATATGATGTAAATATAAATTCACCGTACTAGATTTTGATGTTTGTCACAAAAGCCGATCGGCAGGTCTGAAATGTTAATATGTTGACTTGTTGAGTCATGCTCGTATTAATTAAGTTTTTATGTAATTGTTGTAACTAAACAGTAATAAAGTTTTAACAATGATAAATAGGTTCGTCCAATTTTACTATTGGCGAACAACAGCACGTGCGTCCATTGTTTGGTCTAATCATTTTCGTATAGGCCCGTCGTTTGCACCACCAAATAACACAATTATTTTATCTGTTTTTGAACGTCCGTGTTATTGTTGTTGTACCGCAGTTACACTGTTATTGTAGTTTAGATCGGCAGCAGCACGTTGCATTATTAACTCTGTGTGCGATGCTTTTCTTACTGCCACACCTATTCTGCAACCCCCCGTTTTTCTCTATCCAAAGCCCCCCTTGATGACGCCACCGCTCGTTTTGTATTTTAACGCTCCCTCGTCGTCGTAAACAGTGATCAACGCAAATCCTCGACTGTTCATCAAACTCGGATTGTCTTCTACCCTCCCTTACTCCTACGAACGTGGTTAATATTTTATCGCTTCCCCTTCAGGCATATACGATTTTATTCCTTTGAAAGAACCGAGAAATGCTTTTTAATCGGATAAAAAAGTAAACAGCTAAAGTTATACCGATTTGTTGCCGTTTTTACAACTTTTATTTTGTTTTACAATTCTTAAACTACGACTTTAGTACAATAAATTTTTTTTTTAATTTCGTTGTATTCAACACTAGTTTTTATCGTATCTAGTAGCGGTCGAACTTTGCCATGCCACGGGACGAAATATTTTTATTATAAAAATCTTAATGGGAGCTGTACGTCATTATCCTAGAGCTTTTTTAATTCTATTTATTATACCAGCATATTATTTAGGACTATTAGATATACTTAGACGGCTTTCTTTTTTTTAAGCCTATTCCAAATCGTTAATTTATTTTAGCATATTAACCAATACTTGAAATAAAAACTTGAGCTCAGTAACTTTAAAATTGAACTACCATATAATTAATTTCCAAAATATAACATATGGAAGTTGTATAAAAAAGTCAAAAGGGGTATACCAATGAAGTTACCCATTGGTAAAAATATCATATAATACTTATATGATTTTAAGGGATTCATTTCTCTAATTATCTGCTATTTGTCCGCCACTGGATGTACACAAAAATGTTATGGGTTAATAAAGTACTAAGAATTTTTAACGCTTGAAATAAGTACGATAGTTAGTGATATTTTATGTGTAAAAAGTAAAATAATGCATCTTTTCTATTTAAAAATTAGGACTTAGTAAATTAATCAGTAGTTTTAAATTACTCAATAAAGAAAGATTTGGTTGTTCTATATGAAGATTGATTTTTGTAAGTCATCCATACATCTGTCCACTACAGATTTTTTTAGTAGGGTTTGTGAACCTTTATTCCTTCGGGATTTTACGTATTCATTTTAACTCTGATGTCCTCTAATGGATCCATGTTAGTGACAAACCTTCACCCTATTTTACAGTACCATCATGATCTCATTTGACATAAACAGCTCGATTGACTGATGATTTCTTTTAGATGTCATTGAACATTAAAGTATACAAAGTCATTATCAAATTTAGTGAAAATTTCATATCTCATATATTTATTCAATACTTAAACTATTAGCGTACATATCAATAACTAATACCATTGTCGAAGAATTTGCGTTTATTTAAATTTTCCATTGATCTTAAACATAAGAAAAATGACCGAACCTAATTTATCCTAATTTTTTATGGTTTGTTTGGATTAAGTAACTCGTTTTGACAGTAATGAGTCCATGTAGGTTCTTACAGAAAAAGTGATTTAGAATGTCAAAGTAGATTTCGTTACACTCGTAATTAACTCCACGGTAAAAACCGGACAATTTTTAATTTAATTGAGCGTGATTTGTAATCCATTTTAGGCGTCACTTTGACAACTTAAACACTTACACGTACAGTAAATCATGTGGTATCGAATGTCGTGTTTTAAATTCTATTTGATTATTTTAGTAGCTTTATTTTTTATGGTAATATTCGTTAGTTCTTTTATTAAATTTGTCAATTTCCTTTTTAAAAGTTTGTTTCGGGCTTTGTGGTAAAGTTTCACTTAACAGTTTACCGTAAAAACAAATTTAGAATTTCCTCCGTGGCAACTTTACCGTACGACAGGCACGTTTCTTTGAAGACGAAAACTACGACACTTCAGCAATGACATGTCGCACTGCTAATGTATTATGACTTAATGTGGCACTACACGAGCGCATCGCATACGTGCGCCATAATAATAGTAATATGCGAAAATAAATAAAACCTACATTGTCATATTATACAACGTGATATTGCATTGGATGCGTGTACGGGTTGGGTGGAGAGTATACACACATTACACCCGCGGGACCAGCTGGCAACTGTAGTGGTGATGGTGGTTTTGCCGGCTACAGGGACATGTGGTATGATGCTGGTACAATGCATTAGGAGTGCCGGGAACAGGGTTTAATGGCGTATTTATAATTTAGCATCAGGTCGAGGTGCGGGGTGCTCCGCCGTTGCCGACCACAATGGATAACTAGTGTTGAGCTACTCTCCAGGGACGTTATAACTCAGCTACCACGCTTTCTTCACTCCGAGTGATGCCGCATCATCGCGCGTACACTGTTCTTTCGTTTTTCTTCTGCGCCCGCCAGGACAAGTATTTGCTTTTAAAAAGTAAAACTTTTTACCACCACCCCTCTGTATTCTTATGAAAATCATCCTCTTCTCTATCTACCCGTTGTTATTTTTTTTATGCGAAATTCTCGCCAATACCATCTTTATAGCTATACATTTAATTTATATATTTACATTTAATTGAAACTGCAAATACTCTGGAGATTTTGATATTCATAACATCGTTGTACGCCTCTTAAATGATTGACACATTATTATGACACACACACAAAAACACGAGAGAAAATAAAATCATTGAAATGTTTTTAAAACGTATTTTAGTTGAGTGTCAAAAATGCATAAATTTTACTCCACATAAAGGTAAATCATTTAATGGTATGATTTTCATATTTATAAACTAAATTTAGTTTCTAGTTTTTTTTTTATTTATGCTACTAACCATGTTTGCTGTTGGTGAAGAGTTAAGTGCTCCTAAGAAAAATCTACCCTTCACAAAACCTTAGTAAAACTACATGTATTATAATATAAAAATGTTTTTAGAATGGAAAAATATTAATTTTAGTCCCCTAAATTTTTTATTACAAACTTCCAGTCTGTATTACTAATTACAACTTGTTCATCGATTAACAATCAGTTAACAATATTTTATCACAATAGTTGCCAGTCACTGGTAAATTTCTCAATTTTAGGGCGACTATGTTTAAAAAAATAGGAGTTTATATTTGTAAAAACTATTTCTTTGCCCGTCAAAACAAAAAGGCATATAGAGTGTACAGTAAGTAAGGTAACGAGTTTATATTGTTTTATTTTTTGTAAAAACTGATCAGTTTCTTTACCTTTGGACACTCTATATATATACTTTCATTTTAAGAAATACTTAATCAAAGTTATTTTAAATAAAAAATGCACATAGACACATACTACTCTCTTAACTTTACCGTTTATCAAAAACAAATAAGTTTTTATTTATAAATAATATTTTTATCAAACATTACTCAAATCACATTTTAATGGAAAAATTGTATAACATGTTATACAATTTTTTAATGTTATAAAGTTTTCCGTGATTCTCCCACAGGAGGAGATTCGCAGAAAACAGAAATAATGCGTTCTCTTAAATTCTAGTTGAAAAAAACAAAACACTATACGGGAAAACAGGACTATCCTTTAAAAAGTGTGACGTATGGTCACCCTATCCTATATGTTTATGTTTTAACTCTAAAACTTGTTTCGTTCTTATTATAAAAAAATTGAGTTCTCAATTATTGTTATAATATTATTTAATATTTTCCAAACGAATATTCCGAGTTTTATTTAAAAATTTAACTAGAAATAAATAAAAGTCTGACCAGA